GATTGCAAGATCTTGGATAGCATCCCAAGATTCCAGGTATATTTAACAAATTGATTATTGTGATACCATTAAGTAAGTGCAGTGGAATGGTCAAAACTGTCAGCCATATGTGTTGAAGTCTGAAAGCCATGGTGTTTGGTCAAAATTTGTCATGGAGAAGAATTACTTTATCAGTCTCAGCACATTTAGATGATTCAACCAGTGGAAGATGCGACTGGGAAATAATACTTAATTTGTTATTATCATATAATTGTGAGGATATCATTATGTTGGTAATCCAGATATTCAATGTTACCCTGTTGAGATCATAGAATCACAGAATGGTTTGTTTGGATTGGATTGGATTGGATTGGATGGATGGATGGATTGGATTGGATTGGATTGGATTGGATTGGATTGGATTGGATTGGATTGGATTGGATTGGATTGGATTGGCCACTCCATAACCTCAGTCAGCTATGGCACTGCTCTGAATGTCTCTGATGGTTTCCACAGTACCTCTAGTCCATCTGAAGATCTTCAGCAGTATTAGTCCTGTGGGGAAAACAAATAATAGCCAGCCACAAGTTAGAATTGCTGACCATTTTGCTCTAGTCTCTCAGAAATTCCAGTTATCTACTGAATYTGTATTTCACCTATTCCATTATATCTCAGCAATCTGGCTGAAAGGGTGCTATGGATCACTGCCAAAAATAGGCAGATGCCTCTGCTGCTTTTGCCTCATGCAGTTGTCTCATCATAGCAGACTCTGAGGCTGGTCTTCTTAAACTTATTCTGGATGTTCCCAGTCATCCCCTTATCTGTCATGTGCCCGGGCATTGCTTCCAAGCAGGATTTACCCTGTAATTTCAACATGGGCTAAGGTGAGGCTGACCAGTCTGCAGCTGCCCAAATCCTGCTTGCCTTGCTTGTAGATGGCCTTGTCATATGGTATAGGAACACCATGGCAAGGTGGCTACCACCCCTTACACCTTTACTCTGTGACTGATGCATGGAAAAAGGTGCAAAATGTTCAGATAGGACAGTGTAAGGACTGTGTGTGAATGTGGAACAGATAAAGTGTTAAAAGCAGCCTTGACAGTCCACCTCTCTTTTTAAAATTAATCAGTGACCAGCAGCAAAGGATTTTCTCTTCAGTCTTTAAGGCCTCCCTTTTTCTGAATGAAACATGACATTAGCTGCCGTCTCTGATTTCCAYGCCTATCTACAATTAAGACCACAGAATCACAGAATATTTTGATCAGTGCTTCAAGGTAAACATGTGCTATAGAGCTATGTGATATAAGGATGGTTTTAAGCATACTATTTAAGGGGAAGGAAGGGGTAAACACTGGACCCACATATCCAGCTTAGTGCTCCAGTGCATCTCTTTTGTGTCTGCCTTACCTTTAGGCTGAATCTCTGATGCAGACATTCTCTAATAATACTTAGAAATTGTTTGCATCCAATGTAAAGAACCTTTTAAATCTAGTTTTAAAATAAGGACTCCAGTGGTTTCAGTGTTTGATAAGYAAAGCAGCTGGATTTCACACCAATCACAGTGAGGCTCAGTTACGTTTTAGTCACAGCAGTGAAGTGATGCATGAAACTGACTGTACTGTAAAATCTCATTGTTATATGGATGAGAAAATGGACTAGCTCCAGACAGTAAAACAATCCCAAGACAGGGAAAAATGCATATTGAAACTTTCAACAGAGAGAGCTGATCAGAATAAAAGGTGTTCTTTTGTTAGGGGGCAGTRAACTGTGATCTAGAGCTTAGGATTTAATTAGGCAGTGGGAACTGTTGCTGTGTGTCAGTGTGGTGCTATCAGAGTGCACTGTACATTGTTCAGAGTGCATTGCATGCTCACCTTAGCTGCAGGTCTGCAGAGCTGAGTGAGAGAGTCTAGGTGTTTACCTCCACGTGAATTTTAATGGAGGATGACTTGTGTGTCTCTTAAACTGTTTATTTAGGCTTTTCTTCTCTTCTTGAAGTTATTTATTGTCRTGTTTACAAAATCACTAAAATAAGACCTTTCTTCTATTGTGCTTGCCCATTTCAGCCTGGACTCTGATACTTGATACCCTGACGAATGTAAAATGGAGAGAATTCACATCTTAACTGATATCTGGGATATGGCCATTCCAAAAACTGATTCTAAGTCAGTATCAGAATGCTTTGAGTATGACACCAAGAATCCATGCAATTYTCCATTGGAAAACCTTCCATAGGTTTTTCAAATACCATTCAGCACAGAAAAAAATACGTTAAATAAAATGCATTTTGCTATTGCTTGATTTCAGAATTCCTGAAGAGTATATCCAGAGAAAGTTTTGAGCCCCTGTTGAAAACTGCTTATTCCTTCATACTGCATAGAAAAAGAAAATTATGCTAATTATCTGGTTATCCCCTCCTATGCTCTGAGCAAATCATTGGCTCTGTACAGTCCTGACTCAGCTACAGCCTAAGAGACCCTGCAAAGAGATTTTGGAAAGTCATCAAAACGAGGCATTTGAAGGCAGTGAGCAAAGCCTTCCAGCCCGTGAAAGCCCTTTGCAAGGTCAACTCTTGCTATTTAAATTGAGTAGTTAGCTGCTGAGGCCAGAATGTGTAACACTGTGATGGATGTAGTCTGCTCTCTGCAGGACAGCTCCCTCACCCCGGTCCTTTCCATGGTGGTGCTTTTTCTCYCTCTGCCAGTCCCATTACAAAGACTCATTTCTCTGTTGATAACACAGCAGTGCCAATAGGTATCAGCTCGATGCAGGAAGGAGTGTTGAGCCTGAGGGAAAATGTCATCTATGATAGAGCAAATTCTGTTCAGCTCCCCAAGTATATTTTCCTGGACACAGATGTCATTTCATGTGAGCTGTATCTGGGCCCTCTTTGCTCACCAGTTTTTTACTGGAAGCCTTGTTTCCTGTGTTACCTCATTTGAATAAGTGTGAATTAAGCCTTTGAGCATTTTATTCTAATCAGCACCATTGGTAAATGCCATCATAGTACCATAGCCAGTCTGCCCTGAAAGCAGCCTGCTCATATCAGTATCCCTTCCCATGGATTGCTGCAGTGTGAGACTCTGGATGATCCAGGCTTTCCCCTTAAGAAATCTCATTAACGATGAAGGCAGAAATTTTTCAGCCCTCTTCTTCCTTTAGTAGCTTTTTCCTTCCCATCAGTTGGCTGAAATGCATACTAGACAGATAGTGCTTTGCTCTACCAGTTAGCAAAGCTGATGGCAGAGGTCCTGGTGAGAATGTTTAGAAGAGTGGGAAACACTTCCCTGTGGAAAGAATTAGCCTGAAAACCTGCAGTGAGAAGGGATGGCTTTGGAGAATGACAGTGGAGAGGAAAATATCACCTGTTAAAACAAAGAAATCAATATAGCCCAGACTTGTCAGTCCTGGCTAAGGACATTCACAGTGTGTTTTTCTCCCAGTGCATGAGTGTGCCAYCAGCCCCATTGATTTTGTGCTTATAGTAGGAGAATGATCTATACCTCTTTTGGAGAGATGCTGGCTCTCTGGAGAGAGCCACTGAGATTTCATGGGGGATTGTATCATAATTGCTATAAAATAGCAATTTATCTGCTAAACGCCCATCGACTGAAATAACACCTTGCCAGGAAAGTGAATCTGCTGCGATTTTCTATAATAGCACTCCCAACATTTATGTACCCTTGCCTCTTGCATATTAGCCTTGTGAATATCTCCAGGTCAGAATGTAAAGCTTTTTCCACAATTAACTTAATTATGTTTACAAGGCCTGAGCCACAGAAGGTATGAAATGTCTTTGTTGTGAGTTTTCACGTATTTGTATTAAAGCACAAACATAAGTGCTCTCAGAATCAGAGGTTATGTTGACCTGTTAAACATGCTCTGAAAATCTGATGTGTTCACAAACRCCACACTGTTTTCTCAGTTCTCATTTGAGCCATCCCTGTTTTTCTGTTGATGCAACTGTTACCAAATATAGTTTAGAGTCAAACTCAACCGGAGTTCACATGTTCTCCACTCCTGCATAAATTACTGAGCTTTTGAACACTTAGTTGGTGGACAGAATCCTAAGGAAAGAGGAAAGCTGAAAAGGAAGGAAAAAGAAAAACAAAAAACTTCTATAGAAATAGAACTCATAAAATTTATTACTTTTGTCTGTGTTGCAATTGTGAAAAGTATATTTGTAAAAGTGGGGTTTTGTTTTGTTTTAGCTTTATAAGCTGAAGCTAGATACAGCACTTAAACTCACATTTGATATTCTATAAGTTATTTTTATGGCTGGCTTTACTATTGTTTGCATGACAGATCTCAGATACTAGGCATTTTAACATCAACCAGTTACTGGTCATTATTCAATGAACCTGTTAATTTTAATTGTATTTATTTGTATGCCTATTATAGTAACATTTATCAGCTGAAATTAATATTGCTTAGATTAGTTTCTGCATCTAAAAGTGAGTTATCTAARTTCTATCCATAAACAATACAGACAGGCAACTTGAGGAAGCAAGCCATGCAGCCGGACCTAAATGCTCTTGTGAGGAAGGGATGAATTACTCCCCAAAAATGTTTCTCTACTGACAACAGGAAGGGCCTTGTTTTTGGCCATAATAACAAAATAGATCTTAGCATCTAAGTAAGCCAGGTGTAGACAGAGGAAGGAAGAAAGTAGCAGAGGTGTATCCTCTTGTCCAAGGATCCAACAGATAAGGGACAAAGCAAATAAAATTACCAGTCTTCAGCTTTTAGGCCAATATTTTACTGCAAACCTTCCCTTCACCTTTATAGTTGGTGTGATCTCTGCTCTGGTAGTCATAGGAGAAGGATGACAGCCTGAATGGCCACCTGTAATGATTTAAAATTGGTTGGTTTATGTTTATCTGTTCAGAAATCACTGCTATAGTTCCCATATTTTTCAGCCAGCACCCCATCACTCTGTCTTACTGACTGCCTGGGGAGTGTTATAAACCAGAGGAATGTCCCACTCAAACCTCGCTAATGAAACTTCTTTTGCATTGCAGTTGACCTGGACAGGTTGAATGATGAYGTGAAGCGTTACAGCTGCACCCCGAGAAACTACTCTGTCAATTTGAGGGAGGAGCTGAAGCTGACAAACGTGGTTTTCTTCCCCCGCTGCCTCCTTGTCCAGCGCTGTGGTGGAAACTGTGGCTGTGGGACTCCAAACTGGAAATCCTGYACCTGCGTGTCAGGGAAAACAGTGAAAAAATACCATGAGGTATTTTTGTTCTTACTTTGTCATTTCTTGTGGGTGTTTATGGCTTCCGTAGATTCTGAAGTCTTTTCTAAGAACTTTCTGTGCTGCTTATTAATGTGTGTGTGAGAGCAAGAGGTGTTGATAGGTSTTTATGGGTAAGTTAATTCAGAAGTTGGAGAGAATTTTTGCCACCTCTGAGTGGATGCCACCAAAGCAATTCCAGTGAGCTTTGTTGCAAGAATGAGCCTTGTGTTGGACTGATTTTTCCCACTGATGGACTGATACAAAGTCAATGTATATACCACTGGAAATACACATTTTGGCAACACAGAGACATGTGTTCCTTGAGATATTTGCCTTCAATACCTGTTGCTTTAAACTTATGCCCTTGGAAATTACARTTAAGTCACTTGTAAATTCTCTTCCCTTCCAGATTTATTACTTAGAGGAGGCAGGTGAATCATTCAACCTTAGCTTTTTTCCCACTCAGCAAGTTTTTAGGAAGGCAAAATTTTAGCATAGGAACAATGTCCATTATTTTAATACATTCAGAACACATTTAGAGAGGAAAAAACCAAGGAAACAGCATTTTACATTCTTGCCTCTAATGCAGTATTTTTAGATCAAGACATGAGCAATGTTCCCTAATGTGAGCATATCTAGAAAAATTACTTGGTAGTTGTCTYTCAGTTGTCRGAAGGCAGGGTAGCTGCATGCCATRCTGACTTATTTCTGACACGTATCTCTTGTAAGTGCCAGCTTTACCACTTGGCTTAAGTCCCAAGTGAAAATTAACTTTATGGACTTTAAACCTGGATGCGGTGTGGGCTCACAATATTAAGKCATTATTTTGGGAGACCTGGGGCTGCAATAGCAAAAGGTTGTTGAAGGTCAAAACTTGCCCACACTGTGAGCAGTGGGKTTACTCTTTTCCAAGGTAAGAGATATTTTCTCACACATAACTGCAGAATACGGCATACTCCACGTGCTAGGATTAGAGAATGTTAATATTTTCTCTAATTTTAAACAAGATGCAGGGGATGACCCTGGTAATTACAGAGCAGAAAGTCTTATCTCAGTGGTAGAAAAGTTAATTGGAAAAAAAAATTAATAGGTATAAAGCACCTAGATGACTATGAGCTGATAAAATGAACTCGGAATGCCTTATATATGAATAAATATTTATACAGCACCACAATATTGTGCAAGAATGCTAAAAGGACTGGCACCTCCTGCAGAGAGCAAACAGTCAGCTAGACAAGATCAGACATGGATTAGAAGCTGGTTAAGAGATAAAGATCAATGAGGTGGAAGAGATGAGTAATTTTCTAAATAGGAAAGGGCTCTCTGAGAGTGCCCCCAGCACACAGATTGTTATTTCATGTGGGTTTAGTTTGAAGGGAGATGAACAGAGAGGTGGCAAAAATGMCAGGTGGCACAGGAGATAACATACTTGAACAGCAGAGAGGGCTGTGAGGAATTTCAGAAGGCCTCTGTAACTGCTTGTAAATGCAGGTTAGAAAAGCAAGCAAGCATTGGATGAGTGGTCTCAACTATTTATTCATATAACACTGGGAGTGAGAGGGGAGGAAGGAGAAATGAGGAGTGGAAATTGGGCTAAAGGTCAAGCAGTGAATCACTGAAGAGCTTCAGGAAAACAGTGGCTTAGTGCAGTGATGAGAAAAAGATAAGTGACAGTCTTCTGCAGGAGTGGAGATGAAGAGATAATAACACAGCAAATATTATGATCTGGATAAATTGGTGGGGGACTTAYATTAGGTTTTGACCATTGGTGCTTATAAGGACAAAGGCAGGGCTAGAAAAAATGTGTAGAAGCAGCAAGCATGTATCAAGAGAGATAGAGGGGAAGATACAGATCAAAAGCATTGGTAAGGAAAGTGGCTCAAAAGTTTTGTATAATTTCATTTAGAAAAAAAGAATGGTAGTAAGAGAGGACACAGTGACAGTTAGAAAAYAGTGAATGGTTGCTAAAGGAAAATKAGGTCTTCCTAAAAAATCTTAAGAACAAGAGAGACACTGAAAGCGAGCTAATATAAAATTATAAAAATRAATTGGTTTCTTTTCCCCCAGTAATCTGTATGCAATTTCAACACTTAAATATAAGTTGCATAATTCATAAGATTTCTGAAAGAACTAGAATTAAAATATAAACTAAAGAATACAGGGTTACACCTGTATCAGAATTTAAGTAAACTGTTGACAGTAGCTAGAAAGAAAAATGCTGATTATAAACATTATCAAGCTCTTTTCTTAGGTGTTTGGAAAAAGCTAGAGCTGGAAGACCAGAATGCCATTCTAGCCAGGTATTGCTCAGCTCCAGGTTGTCATGACTTATGATCACCCCAAATTAATCACTAAATTCAGAAAATTCAACAGTCACACAATCATCACTGCTAATTTATTTTYCTACACATTTCTCCTCTGAAATGAATTCAAGACAGTGTTTCAGCTTTAACATTAAATGGCCTTTGTAAGTTTAAATTTAAATTTTATCCCTCAGGGATGAATTAACAGCTCACTGAGCAGATATTTAGCCAAGTGTCTCCCATTAACATGAGTGGAAGTCATGCAGATAAATTCATGTATGACATACTAAAGATGTGTCCATAAATTTTAGTCCAAAATGTTTTCCACTTTATTATTATTATTAGCCACGCACAGTTAATCAGTTTTATTCTTACTCTCCTTTGTAATTTTACTTAAATACCGTGCAGAAAAGGCACTGAGGAGAGACCTCTCAACATGTCAGTTTTAGAACCAGTGAGGCCAGTTTATTCTCTTAAAAGYCAATTTGAAACCCACTAACCTTAACCAAAGAGCATTCAGTTGCATAACGAAGGATGGATTTCACAAAGTGTGAAATCCAGCACCATTAATTTGGTTAAAAAGCTGTGCCTTCTACTGCAGGTGAACATAGGCCAGATTCAAACACAAATCTCAGTTAACTGGATTTATTTGCAGAAGACACCAGAAGGAGGTGTTAGGTAGTGGAGCAAAGGTGTTTGAAGTAGATCCTGGAATTGGATCTTGCAGACCCCAGAGCCCTTCTCTTGCTGGACTGATTTTCCCTAAACTCTACCCTTTAGCTTCATCTACTGAGCTCCTGAACCTGCAAGAGCTTTGTGTCCTGCACATGGATATGCTTGTCCTCAAAAGTGAAAATGTCTCTGGAGATCACTTAAAAAGTTCCCCGGCATTTCTGAGCTACCCAGTGTTTCTGGGTGAGAAAGACAGGCAAATTGGCCAGAAGYGATAGGCTCCTTTTTGGCTTTGTAACCAGAGCTGCAGTAGCTGCATGTTGGCAGCTGTGGGGACTCCAAAGTCCAGGGTGTTTCTTGAAAGAGAGTCTTCTAGTCCAGAGAGATTTCAAGGTTATCTTCTTCTTATGCTCTTAATGCTTTTTGGTTCCGTTTTTGTTCCTGTTCAAAGCCTCACACTGTAATCACTGAGTGCTCCCTCCTAGCCTGGCCTCTCAGGACTAACAGCTATCACGTGTAGCCTTGAATTTTCCCAGCTGAGAGTGCTGCTCCAGTTCCCTGAGTGGAATGTACAGCTCTTTTCTATCCTGTCTGACTGCAAGACAGCAGGGAAAATGAGAATATGAGAATGCCACAATAAGGGTTGGCTGTTCTTTGTTGGACTGGGAGATGTTAATCATGAGATCTTGGGTCTTCTTTATAGCCTGGAAATTTGCCATGTCTGTACCAAGATACTCAGCAGTTTTTGAAAATAAGTGGGGTCATAACTGGGGGTAGACAGTTTTATTGGTGGGTTATTTTTTGGGTTTTTTTTTTTTGTTTCAGGAGTCTTGTGATGCTCTGTGGTTTTCCATGGCTTCTGGGTTTGCTTTAGAGCAGAGCAAATACTCTGGACAGATACTCATGACTTACCACATAGTGTCACGAACCCTTCAAACCAAACAGGCCAAAGCCTGGCAGTGTCTGAAAACATCTCTCAGGCACAGCYTGAAATAAATGATACTGAGTTATGTTGCAGTGCTCTGTGCAAGGGAAATACATGGAAATAGATGTGCCACACCTTAATCAAATACTCAGCTCTACAGCTGTCTAATTTTCTAAAGGGGACCTGAAATAAAAGCTTGTTTCCCATTGCAGTTCATTTCCTTAAAAAAGCCTGGAGCTGCTCTTTAAAGAGGCACAGGCCCTAAACCTGGAGATTACTCAGTGCAGAGAAGGTGTGGGGGAGCTCAGGCCAGGAGTCAGTTCAGCCCTGGCTGTGTCTGTCCTATCCAACCAGCATGCACATACCTCAGAGAAACAAGAAATTGGTTTCCCCATCTCATTGCTGTAACTGATGAGATGTGAAATGAGTTTCCGTGGGGAATAAGTGCTCTTAAGGTAGCAACCAGAATTTGTCAGAATGCATAAACCTCTGCAAATACACAGCTAAAGGGCATATAAGGAAAAGGCAAGGTGGTGAAATCTGATTGCATCTTTTACCTGCTTGGCTCTCCTGTAAAAAGTGGTGTGTTTTTCACTGTCTGTAAGGTGCTTCTTCCCCCACSCTCCCATCTCACCCCTTTTTCAAGCATTATGTATGCCTCCATTCCGGTTTGTTGTTGACTGGAGCTTGTCTGATGCCTTCAGAGGACACACATTCAGTTAATTCTCAGAGACAAGGTTTAGATTGGTATTATTGGGGTGGCAATTTCATAACCTTTGGTTGCCTTGAGACAGGCAGTAGATACCCCAGAGCACACAGTACTGTGTCTTGGCACAAGCTGCTGGGGCATAGAAACAACTTCAACTGAACCCAACACTGGAAAGGGAAATTAAGAGGAGGKAATATTATAAGGAAGAAAAGAACATGGGAGCATGCTAGAAAATAAAAAAGTGGCGTGGACCTTCAATAAGACAGAGTTATTGCAATGGGGTTAATAAATATAACTAATACAATTTGATGTTGTGGGGGCTTTTTTTTTTTATTTTATTTTTTAGAGAAATTATAAGCAAACCATAAGGAGTTACTTGAGAGAACAG